ACGACAGAAAAGTTTATTGAGGTTTCTAGAGAATTCTCTATAGGGGTAGAATGACCTTTCTACCCCTAATTAGCAGGAAAAGTGGGGAGTAAAATGTAAGGAAATTTCATGGAGAATGTGTTGGAGTTGGGGGTGTGATTGCAAGGAATTAAAGGAGAATGATGGAATTTCCAAGAAAGAGTAAGGGCAAAATGGGAATGATGGTATGTAAATTGAGTTAAAAAGGGTTTAAGTGTTGAAAGCCTTTCATTCTTCACCATCTCCACCGCCATTCTCATTGCCTAATTTCTCTCAATTCTCCACTCAATCTTCCAAGATTTTCTAAGGACTTTTGGGGTAGTTTTTAGTAGAAATTTAATCTAAAGCATCCTACGGTAAGGATTCTTGCTTTAGATGAGAATTTTGCTTATAATTTGTGGAAGTCTTATGTTGTTATTGTTTACAGTTGTAGAGAGAAGACAAGACAACAAGGGGAAGGAAAAGTGCTAGAGAAGTTATTTACCCACAAGGTAAGTAAATCTAACCTAAGTTGAGATTTAAGAATTCATTTGAGTAGAGCTTTGTGTATGTATGTGTATGAATTATACTTGTTGAGAAATTGAGATGAGATGAGATGAGTAATTATTTATGATTATTGAATATGTTTGAGTATGAGAAGTGTTGAGCTTCTATGATGTTGAGTAAGGTTGATAGAAGTTGGAGAGAGTTTTGAGCAAACCCTATGGGAGTGAGTTTATTTGATAGGAATCTAGAGAGTATGAGGGAGTTTCTTCCATTTGTGGGTGATTAAAGAGAGGAGAAGAGTTATAGTTAAAGTAGAGTTTTATATGCACATGAGTTGTATGATGAAATGTTTGAGAAAGGCATGAGTAAGAGTAGAGAACCTTAATTATTGCTACGTGGCATAATTGCATTTCATGAGTGCATTAATGAGCATGAATCATCCATATGCATTATGCATTAGAGAAAGAGTAGAGGACTTTGAGTGTGAGCTTCTCTAAAAGAAAATAGAAAAGAGAGTATAGTAGGTTATGCGATGGGGAACCTGTGAGTAATGGGTAGTGTATTCTCGCATGTACGCTGCATTGAGAGAGTGGCATGAGTATGAGAGAGAGAAGTGGTGTAGCCCGTGAGAGTGCATGCGGATGAGGGCTATACCCGAGAGTACCCGGGAGAGAGATTATATACTCACATGGCTAAAGGTTCCGAATCCATGCATAACTGAGTCCGATCGGCTGAGAATGAGTAAAAGTCACGGAGAGCGGGAGCGAGTCTCGGCCGTGCCTCCGATAAGATGGGGCCGTGACTTACAGAAGAGAATTAGTAGAAAGAGAAAATAGAGAGAAACATAGAAGAGAGAGTAAATGAGAATTGTAAGGAAAGAATTAGAGTGATAGAGTTACAGGGATAAATGAGTAGAGGGTTTACTTACTGAGCATTATTTGTGCTCACCTCATTGTCTTTCTATGTTTTTGCAGGATCTAGGTGAGGACACGGCCGGATGGACGTCGGCACGCGAGGAGGAATGGCTACACTGTCCTCATAGTTTTTGATAGTTTTTTGTACATGATACTAACTTTTTGTAAAGAATGTATATGTTTAATAAAATAAAAATTTTGGGCCCAACTATTTATGTTATTATACATGTATTTTATTATGTATATTTTATGAGCATATGAATAGAAAGCAGTTATTACAGTCTTCTTAGGAAATGAGTTCCTGTGTTGTTTCCCTGTCAAACAATCTTTGCACAGCTTTGAAGGAGGTTTGAAATTCGGCAAGCCATTCACCATTTCTCTTTATTGAAGAGTCTTTAATCTTGTAAAACTCAAGTGTCCATATCGACAGTGCGAAAGCTGCTCAATGTCTGCAGTGTTTGTATTAAAACAAGTGCATGCTATAGGTTGGGATATAGCATGTAGAACAAACATTCTATTGGAAGTCATTTTTGTATCCATAATCAAACCTTTCTAGGAATGAAACACTTTACATTTGCCATGCTGAAACAAAATAGTAAGTCCCTTTTCTTGCAACTGTCCAATACTTAGCAAATTATTCTTCAATTCAGGTACATAAAACACACCTGTAATGATCTATATTAGACCATTTACTTGCAGCCTGACATTGCCCTTTCCCAACACAGCCATGCTTGTGTTGTTGCCAAGCTTCACAGAGTCTTGAAAAATACCATCAAAGTCTGAGAAATAATCTTTGTTGCCACACATGTGATTGCTGCAACCAGAATCAAGAAACCACATGTCTCTCAACTGACTTTGTTGGTATCCACATATGCCATCAACAACATTTCTTCCTGATTCTCTGCATAATTTGCTTCTGTGTTCTTGTTTGGACATTCCCATGCAAACTGTCCTAGCTTGTGATAGTTGTAACACTCGACTGTGGCCTTATCAAAAAACTTGTTGTTGTGTCCTCTTCTTCTTCCTCTGTAATTTCCACAACTACGACCTTTTCCTCCCGAGAAATCTACATGAGTGATCTTCAAAGCCTGCTCTTCTTCAACATGTGAACTCATGCGCTGTTCATGCACAATCAGATTGCTCTGCAACTCATCAATAGTTAAAGTATCGATATCTTTAGACTCCTCAATAGAACATACAAGATAATCAAATTTTGAAGTCATGGATCTTAAAATCTTTTCAACAACAGCAATACTTCCCTTATCTTCTCCATTTGCTTTGATCTTGTTGGCTCTGGTAAGAGTGCGAGCGAAATATTCATTCACAGTTTCTCCAGCCTTCATGTGAAGAACTTCAAATTCTTTTCTAACAGCTTGCAAGTTTCCACGTTTCACTCGTGTTGTGCCTTGATATTTCTGCTTCATGGAATCCCAGATATCCTTTGCAGATTTCTTGTTGAGAATTGTCTCCAGAATAGAACGATATAATGCCTGAAATAGATAGTTCTTAGCTTTCAAATCTTTCAACTGTTGATCTTCAAAGTGCTTCTTCTGTGCCTCAGTGAGAACAACACCTTCTGCTACTGCAGGAACACCATTTTCCACCAAGCCCCAATACTCCTTTGAGCGTAGGAAATTTTCCATGAGCATTGCCCAGTGATCATATTACCCATCAAACTTTGGAACTACTGGTTGTANAAAAAGAAAAGAATTAATTGTAAAAAGATAAGAGAAGAGAAGGTTGTTGCGATGGGGAACCCGTGAGTGACAGAGAAGAATAGTCCCATATACATGCCGCCTTCAGTGAGCGGCCTCAAAATCAGAAAGAAGTAAGTGTACAGTTCGTTAGAAGTGTATGTGGATGAGAACTGTACCAACAGAATTTACCTACATGCACGCTGCCTTTAGTGAGCGGCCTCAGAATCAAAAAGAAGAGTTGTACAGTCCGATAGAAGTGCATGTAGATGAGGACTATACCTACTCACATGGCCAGAGTTTCAAATCCATGCCTTAACCGAGTCTGATCGACATAGAAAGAAAGAAAAGAAAGAAAGAATAGAAAGAAAGAAAAGAAAGAATAGAAGGAAAGAAAGAATAGAAAGAACGAAAGAATAGAACATAGAAAGAAAGAACAGAATAGAAAGAAAGAACAGAAGTAGAAAACAAAAAAGAAATTGCATTCTTTATGCATTATTGCACATGCATCATGACATTCATATTATTCAAAATAGTGTAAATAAATTTCTTAAGAAGCTCAACAGTGTTGCCCGACCCTTTCGTATCTTGACATTCCAAGCGACCGCATCTCATCTATTACCTGCAGAAACATTGAAAACAACGGGGTGAACACTAATTGCTAAGTAAGTAAACCCGCTATGCTACCCTTCTATCTCCGTTGCTCATATTCTGAGTTCTTTCCTTACATCACACTTCTCTCTTTTTTTTTGTTTTTTTCTATTCTTTCTCTCTGTTCTTTCTCTATTCTTTTTCTGCTCTATCTTTCTGTTCTTTCTCTATTCTTTTTCTGTTCTTTCTCTACTCTTGTTTGTCACTTACTAACATGTAAGCACAATTGGAGAAACTAGTATATTAGCTAGAGAGAGAGTCATTACATTTACCTGGGTTAGTGAGTTGGGTCGGGTTAATAAATTCGGTTGTCGCAGTTTAATCTTTGCCCGGATTTTTGGCTTTATCCCGTTTAGAAAAGCCTCCGTTAGGACGTCTTCTCTTTCTCCCTGTGTTAGTGCTGCAACCTCCTCAAACCGCCGACAAAAATCTAGCACCGATCCTCCTTGCCGTATCGACATCAGCAACGCAACCTTGAACATTATCCAGGTCATTGCCGCCGTCCTCGACTCTGTGCACTAGTACCAGTGGAGTGCTTCTCCTTCCATGTAGAGGCTGTTGACGAAACATTGTGCTTGTCAGGGATCTGATTTATTTTTGCCAAATGCCAAACACTTCTTTACCTTAACTTTTTTAAGTGCTTTAACAATCAAAAGAAACTATTCCATTAGGGACACTCAAACCACTATTTTAAAACTCAGACCTGACCGGTTAGATTGGGACCTGACAGCCTCCCTGGTCCGGTTTAGGTTCCAAGGGGGTTTATGATATTTTCAAAGTTGTAAGGATTGATTTGTAATTTTTTGATGGTGTTTTTGAAATATTTCAAAGTNGTACTCAACCAATTAATTCCTTAATTGCCTATAATTACTACTTTCACTCCTCCTAAAACTAGAACTCTAACCACCTTCATATTTATCATGTCCACTAATTATATTATCATTGCCACCCTGTAACAGCTTCACACTCAAACAATATCTCTTATTTTCAGTGGTATTGTAATTACCCTTCACGATTGGGATACTCTTCAAGTCCTGAGATCTCCGGGGACTCTCCCCCTTGTATAAATAAACTCTAACGTCGTAACTCGTAACATAACCATCGATCAAAGCCAAAACCAAAGTCAATACAAGCCATGGGAAGGAGAGACGGTGATGGTGATGGTGGTGATGATTATGAAAAAATTATGATTGAAGATACGTTTAAAAACACTCCGGTGCCTAAATGGCATCAGCAAATAACGTTTAGGGCAATGGGGACGAGTCTTATTCTGAGCGTTGTTTTCAACTTCATCGTCTGCAAACTTAATCTCACCACTGGTGTCATACCTTCGTTTAATGTTTCCGCGGGTTTGTTGGGTTATGCTCTCGTGAAGTCGTGGACAACTCTTCTTGAAAAGTTTGGGATGTTGAAACACCCCTTTACCAGGCAAGAGAATACTGTCATCCAAACATGTATCGTTGCATCCTCAGGAATTGCCTTCAGCAGTATGTTTCTTAACTCTGATAATTTTTTGGTCAAATTTCGGTTTTTTTCACTGGTTTTAGATCTCGTTTAAATTTTATAATCATGGTTATTACCGGGATCTATTTGCATGATCAATTCGGAAACATTAAATAATCTGAAACCATGGTGACTTCTGACATTGTAATGAATAAAATGGTAAGAAAATTGATGAAAAAATCTCAAGTTTAATTAGATATAAATTATGAGAAGTCTCTTAATCTTGGTAGTCTTAACACTTTGAGAAATTGATGGTTTCGGAGTAGCAAACAAGGTTGTCTTTTTTTTTTTTTTTTTGTGGTCTTTCAAGCGCTGGTCACATATGTAGTTGTGTTTGCTAATTAAATGATTATGAACAAATAAAAGGCGGAACTGCAAGCTATTTAATGGCAATGAGTCCAAGGGTAGCTGCTGAGGCAGATGGCGGGAACACCCCTGAAAATGTGAAGGCTCTTCATCTCGGTTGGATGACTGCATTCCTCTTTGCTGTCAGTTTCGTGGGTCTGTTCTGTATTGTGCCCCTCAGAAAGGTTAGCATACAATTGACTATGCCCTGTATGATTATGATTATCTTCTCTTATTACACGAAATAATCGTTTTAACACTTGACCAAATTGTTAATTTCCAGATGATGATTTTGAAGTACAAGTTGACGTACCCAAGTGGAACTGCAACTGCATACCTTATAAACAGTTTCCACACACCTAAAGGAGCCAAGCTGGCCAAGTAATTTCGAATTCTTAGTGTAATTTTGTTGTTATTACTATCATTGTTATTGATGTTTAGAATGTTAATCCATGTGGTTACTTTAATTAATGCAGGAAACAAGTTGCTGTGCTGTTCAAGAGCTTCGGCTTCAGCTTTGTCTTTGCATTTTTCCAGTGGTTTTTCACCGGAGGTGATTCTTGTGGTTTCTCTAGTTTCCCTACATTTGGTCTTCAAGCTTTTAAACAAAAGTAAGTACATTTCTACCAAATGCATCACATTGCATATATATATATATATATATATATATATATATATCAATCTCATGCTTGCTAAAATCAATGTATTGTTTGAGTATTGAGTTGGAACATTAATGTTTGCGTTTGATTATTAGTTTCGAGAAAACTAAATGGAATTCAGTCATTTAATCCATTAAATAAATGAAGTATCCATGTTTGATAAGCTTATGCAGATGGGAGTTGACATTTTACTAGTTAATTTGCTTTTGAGGAATGATTAGCTGATTCCATTTTTTTAATGTCTCACAGGTTCTTTTTTGATTTCTCGTCAACATATGTTGGTGTTGGAATGATTTGCCCTTACATTGTTAATGTCTCATTGCTTTTGGGAGCTGTAATCTCATGGGGAATCATGTGGCCCATCATTGAGACCAAGAAAGGTATCTGGTATAGTGCGGAGCTATCTGCAAGTAGTCTCCATGGCATTCAAGGTTATAGGGTATATATCCTATTCTACCATTTCTCTTTCACTAGTTTCTTAATCTAAACGTATGCAAGGTTAATCTGATTAATGATTCATTGTTATTGACAGGTTTTTATTGCTATTGCCATGATGCTTGGCGATGGTCTTTACCATGTTGTTTCCATGCTAATCACTACCTTGCTTAGTCTTCTCAAGCAGCACAATTCAAGGAACAACTCCGTTTCTACATCTTCTATTCACGAGCAGATAACTGAGATAGTAGAAGAAGACTATGACACTAAGAGGCGAACTGAGTTTTTCTTAAAAGATCAGATCCCCAATTGGGCAGCTTGCACTGGCTATGTTATCCTTGTAGCCTTAGCCATGATTTGTGTACCCCTCATCTTCAATCCATTGAAATGGTATCACATTCTTGTGGCTTTTGTAGTTGCCCCTGTTTTGGCCTTCTGCAATGCCTATGGCTGTGGTCTCACCGATTGGTCTCTTGCCTCCAACTATGGCAAAATAGCTATCATCATTTTCAGCTCTTGGGTTGGTCTCCACAATGGAGGGATTGTCGCTGGCCTTGCTGCTTGTGGTGTGATGATGAGCACTGTTGCGACTGCATCAGATCTGATGCAGGACTTCAAGACAGGATATCTCACCCTCTCATCTCCTCGCGCTATGTTCGTCAGCCAAGTCATTGGCACGACAATGGGATGCATTATAACACCTCTGGTTTTTTGGTTCTTCTACCAGGCTTACCCAATAGGCGATCCTAAGGGCACTTATCCAGCTCCCTATGCGCAACTGTATCGCGGGATTGCCATCCTTGGAGTAGAAGGTGTCTCCACCCTTCCAAAAAACTGCCTCAAACTTTCGATTGCGTTTTTCATTGCTGCTATTGCTGTAAACATAGTTTGTCATGTGCTGCGGAGGTATGAGACCAAGTACAAGATTTATAGGTTTATTCCGAGCCCAATGTGCATGGCCATTCCATTCTATCTTGGTGGTTACTTTGCCATAGACATGTGTATTGGTAGTTTGATTCTTTTCTTGTGGACGTTGAAGAACAAGCGAATGGCTGATGACTACGTGCCTGCAGTGGCATCAGGCCTCATCTGTGGTGAATCTTTGTGGGGTGTACCGGCTGCAGTGCTCTCTCTTGTCAACCTCAATGCTCCCATTTGTATGAAGTTCCTTTCTGCCAAATCCAATGCTAGGGTTGATAGTTTTCTAAATGGGAGCTAGTGATTAACTAATATCTCTGTTTGCGCGATATTATTATGTTGTAGATGGGTGATGCTTATTTTTATATTTCACTTATGTCAAAAATTGAATTAGTATTTTAATTTTGGTTTTGTTAGCAATAGGTGATTGGTTCAAACATGTCTAGTGTTCTAGTTTGTTATATATTTTTTATTAATATTTTCTGGTTAACCCATCCACTTATTGCTGGCCATTCAGCTGCACATGGTCATAAGTTTTCTTGAATGCTGCAGCAATTTTTGCGAGGGCAAGGAATGATTTAGGCACCAAGAAAATTTTATTGTGTCTCCTTTTAAAACTATACAGTAGTAATAACACTGTTTATCTCAAATTTGTTTCTAAGTTTTCTATTTTATTCTATATGTTAGTGACCATGACGAATAAAATAATAATTAAATAATGTCACGGCAACAAAGTTAAGTAATATAAACTAAAAGTAATATATTCAATTTTGGAAGGCATTTTATCCAATCACATTGCGAAGACTATGTATGCAACCTTCAATTGAAATTAAGCATATCCTCATTATTTTTGTCAACTTTGATCTGGTTTTGCCTTTTGAAAACACTTTAATAAATGCATATCCTACTTGGGTTTGATTTCTAAATCTTCTTCAACTTCTACCAAACCTTCCAACACCTTTACACCACAGATATGGAAGGCCTCTTGGAAAAATCGCTTTGCAAACACCATGCAGCCACTTTCATCGTTTCCATCACTTCTGCTTCATTTGAAATCATAACCTCACTATTTTTATTAATCATATCTACAAGTTGATGCTCTTCTGCCTTTCTTTTAAATACCCTTAATAAGTGCATATCGTCCTCTGGTTGAGGTCGATCGAAGTTCTTTCTTCCACATAAGATTTCCAAGACCACAACCCTAAAGCTATACACATCTACTTTCTCAGTGATGACAAAGTTGAGCCATTCAGGAGCCAAATAACCTGGTGTTCCTTTCATTCTAGTTACAACTTGACTTTGGTCTCTGTCATTTAGCTTTGAGAGGCCGAAATCGGAAACTTTTGCCCGAAAGTTTTATCCAAAAGAATGTTTTGAGGTTTGATATCTAAGTGAAATATCTTTTGCCTACAATCTTTATGGAGATAGTGTAAGATAAAATTATATATATGTGGCATATTAATATATAAATAATATTATTATGGTTTAAAAATAAATTAAATATTATCCAATTATTATTTTAATAGTTATACATATTGATAGAACGTATATTTGAAGGAAATTTATTTCTTAGAAACTTGACCCTCTCTCTGCCTATTAAAGAAATAATGTATTTTCTTCATCCATTAGCAAAACAAAAGTTCTAAAAAATTAAAGAGAGGAAAGGAGAGAGGATCTAGTATTCTTAATCACAAAAATCATCATCAAATAGTATCATGACTCAAGTATATCTTTTCTAATTAAAAGTTTATTATTGTTTTTATAACCTGTAAAATTCTTGAATTTCAAAGATTCTATAATTTAACGTTTCATGTAAACTTATTTAGGTCAATCCCTTGTCAAGAATGATGATTCTCATGATTTGCAAATCAAGAGCACAGCCTTGGTTCCCATTGAAGATCCATTTGTTCAATGAACCATTGCACATAAATTCATAAACAAGAAGTCTATAATACTTCTGGGTGGAATATCAAATCAATCTTATCAAGTTGACACGGTGAATGTTACCAATTATCTAAACCTCAGAAAAAAAAATGATTCTTTGATTCGGCCTAATCCGTCTAGACACTTCACTCCAACCCTAGTGTCATTGGTAAGAGTGATACGAGTAAATTAACCTTAACCTTAACAAGTGCAGTAATCGTGCTCAAATATTAAAGTGATTGAGGTTGAGTATCATGTCACAGAGATCAAATTAAATATTCGTAATTATCTAAAACTATTTATACGTTATTTAAGAAAATGAAATTTTAAAGTGTAAAACTAATAGATTAAAAATAACTAAATTAAACAAATAAACAATATGAAGAACTTTGCAATATTAATGAAGTTAGAGTATAGATTTCTTCTTAATTATGCTTGACAACTACTCTTAATACCCATTTGTACTATGAATTTGTAAGATTCTTCCAAGGCTAATTATCCTTATTCAGACATAATATTCAACTTAATACAGATCCCTATTCAGTTACTCTGAAATTAAGAAGCATAAATTCATCAATCCCTTATAACTAATTCGCCCTATTCGGTTATGATTTAGGTGGATCACAAATTAATCCTAGAATCTCTATTCGATTATTTCTAGTTTTAATATGATGTGCAATGTTCTTCCAATAAAATAATTATGAATATAAATTAAGCAATAAACCCTAACTTATCAATTCGAAACATCATTAGGGTAATTCAATCAATCCAACATTCTTAAAGCATTAAACTTAAACTCTTGCACAAATTCATAAACGTAAATCTGGTATCAAGAATAAAAATTGTTCAAAACATAATTAGGGTTCCATTCTTCCTTAACAAAAAAGATTTACTCCATCCTAAGAACAAAAAAATAAATAGAGAAGAAAGAAAACATATTCAGACTTGAAAATAAACAAAAATCAAACTCTTAAATTTGATCTTCAGTCTTTAAGCCCAAAGAATGTGTTTTCTCCTCTCCAAAATATGCCAAATTCGTCACTTTTCAGTTAATCACAATCATACTTAAATACCTTAAAGAGTCTTAAGTGAGAAAGGAAAGAAAAACTGACAAAAACACGATAATAGGTTCCGTCACGGCCTTGATCGTGGCCAAATTTAAGTCACCACAGCCTTGGCCATGGTGCTTTCTTGTCTCTTGTTTTATCTTTGTTCCACCACCATGGCCATGGTGAACTACCAAGGCATGATCGTAGCCTTAAAAAATGTCAGGTAGTCTCAATTTCTTCAAGCTTCAAGTCCCAGTTTTATTTTAATGCTTTAATCTACTCAATCAAAGCCTGAAAACACACAAAATTATTCAAATCAATAGTTGACCATTCACATCTCAAGCTTAATAAAAACTAACACCAAAACAAATAAAACAAAAGAGAGATTAACTAAACCAACATCAAAACAACCCTAAAAACTCTCAAATAATTCAGCTTATCAAGTCCCTTCAAATACGGATCTGAATCCTCCTTGATCAGGTTTCTTGCTTAAATTATCAGTTGCTGCTATCAAGTTTTCATAGGAGTACCTCTTGGGCATTCTTGGTACCTTGTCTAAGTAATCTTCCTCTAAGGGTCTGCTTGGGAGTTTTATGGTAGCGGTTGTGAGGGTAAACCATCGTAGCGGTTTTGAGGGTAAACCATCGTAGCGGTTTTGAGGGGTTTTTAGTAGCGGTTTTTAAAACACCTAACATGTGATTGGGAGTTTATTTTCCAACGGTTCTAATAGTTTTTTTAAATGATAAATTTACATATATGTCCATAAAGTTAAAATACTCTCTCTTTTGCTGAATTAACTTTGATAAATACAGATAATGTCTACATTATTTGTTTTTATTTTCTTTCTCTCCAATCAAACAAGAGGCTCTCTCTGACAGTTATGATTGCTTCAACAAGTTTCGATATTGTAGGTCATTAGTTTCAGTTTGCAGTTGTATTTGGTTTGATGGAATATATTTTTGTTTCTTTCTATTAAGATTTGTGATGAAGCTCTTAAGAATAGAAGTTTGCTGTGTTGATTTCCATTACCATCATAAGAATGAAGGAGTTGACTCTCAAATTCACCACGCATTTTACTTACAATTGCTCTGGTGCCTAGCCAACTCCATAAAATGATATAGGTGGTGTTTAAAGCCCTAACTTGACAGAATGAATGACTCTATAGGTTTGGGTTACGCACACCTCCATATTACTTTTAAAACCTTTTTGATTTATGGCTTTATGCAGCTGCAATAGTTCGGATGAAAGATTTTGATAGTTATTTCTAATATTTAGAGACACATTGAAATTAGTACTAGATCCTTTTAACCTGTATTTTGGTTGATGTTAATAAGTTAATTTTAATGCATTGGTGTAGAGCAATAGAGATTGTGAAGCTAATGTTTCATGCAGGGTTAGAGGCATCTACTGTTGTAATGGCTTGGAGAAGCAGCGAAGGGATTATAAGTGGAAAGGGGTTTTTTTGGGATAAAATGTTTAAACCAGTCAAAACACCCCGATTTAGGGTGTTTTATAAATCCTTAAAAAATACACTACACTGGTTTTGGGGGGTTTTTAAACCAGTTAAAACCAGTCTATTAAAAATTTGATAAGTAATGGTTTTTAAACACCTCAAAACCAGTCTAATTAAAAACTCCCTAAAACCAGTGAAAAAAAAACTCTCAAACAGACCCTAAGTCATCACCATCTTTTTTCTTCCCTGAAAAAACAATGTAAATAATGCCAATGATGAGAACAAGACCAGAGAACACCCGAAAGCTCGATCCCAATATAATCACAAGCTGCCTTGTTTTCCTTTCATCCTGAACTTGAAAAAAAAAAAGGGTCGGTGTCAGCACTCAAATCTGACTGAACATTTTTGAGTGGAAAAATTTCTGATGCCAAATAACAATTCCTGGATGAATCAAACATCATAGCTTTGCGTGAACAATTTTCTAGACAATCTAGTTTGCAGCTCTTCACATCTGTATGTTTAGTACATGCGACACCTTTCAAATGGATGACACTTTTCAGCTCTACCATTTCTTGATATATAAATCTGCCAGAGGAAGTTATTAATTTCTGGACAGCCAAGATCGGTCTGTAGTGGCGGATCCAGTATTTTGATTGAGAGCCTCCGCGGTTCCGCTGTTATTTACCAAATAACCAGTAAAAATTTTAAAAAATATCACACCTTAAGCAAAAAAAATAATACAATATCAAGAGCATGGAAGAAAAGAATAAAATAACATAATATTTTCACATTTGAATAAATCTACTGAGAAGCAAAATTTTGAATAAATATGTTAAGTAAACTTGAGCAAAACCTTCTTTTATTTTTGGCTTATAA